GCAATCTTGGTGATCTAGCCTACTCAAGTTCATGCTTTTCACTCACACACTAGTAGGTAGTGCACCGCTACTTCCATGGATGATCTTTGATGCAAACTTGGTGATCTAGCCTACTCAAGTTCATGCCTTTCACTCACACACTAGTAGGGAGTGCACCGCTTCTTTCATGGATGACCTTTGGTTCAACCTTGGTGGTCTAGCCTACTTGGACTCTTGCTTTCACTCACATGATGGTATGTGATGTTCCGAATCTTACTTAGATGATCTCTTCTCTATGTGCATGTGCTTTCCACTAGTTCTAGCTTCTCGTTGTCATGTTTATGTGGGTTGAGATGTTCAGGTTCTTACTTAGATGATCTCTCCTCTATGTGTGTGTGCTCTCCACTAGCTCTAGCTTCTCATTGTCAAGTTCATGCTTGATGTGATGTTCCGGATCTTACTTAGATCATCTCTCCTCTATGTGCATGTGCTATCCACTAGCTCGAGCTTCTCATTGTCAAGTTCATGCTTGATGTGATGTTCCGGTTCTACCTTAGATGATCTCTCCTCTATGCGCATGTGCTCTCCACTAGCACTAGCTTCTCATTGTCAAGTTCATGCTTGATGTGATGTTCCAGATCTTACTTAGTTGATCTCTTCTCTATGTGCATGTACTTCCCACTAGTTCTAACTTCTCATTGTCATGTTCATGTGCCACGTCAGCAGTGCCACGTCAGCAACAGTGCCACATCAGCAACAGTGCCACATCAGCAACAGTGCCACGTCGGCAGTGCCATGTCAGCAGTGCCACGTCAACAACAACGCCACGTCAGCAGTGCCACAGTGCCACATCAGCAGTGCCCCGCCACCATGACGGGCTCAGTTTTGGGCATGCCAGACCAACTGGCAAATGAATCCATTGCGAGTAGCGACAACGTTTCGAAACTCAGCTCGCACTAATCGCGGCTAAGGAACAGCGCCAGCTGGCAGCCGAGGCTCTCCGCCTACAGGCTGAAGCGGCTGCAGCAGCTGAGAAGCAGCGGCTTCAGGCCGAAGCAGACGCAGATACCCAGGCACCCCGCAAGGAAGCCTAGGATCTGTTGCAGTGGCATGAAACCTCCAGCATTGAAAGGCTCAAGTGTTGGCATTTTGAACCATCCAAGGAGCACGACGACGCGACACCGGAGGAACAGCACAAGCAATTCATGGCCAAGCTCATGACCAGGTTGGTTTACACTTGTAACCTGCAATCTGAGCTGGCGAATCTCCGACGGGCAATGCAGAACCACAAGGATCTGCACGAGGATGCTACACGGGCACTTCATTCCCGGTGTACAGGACTTGGAGCAAGTTGCACCAAGACCGAATGCTGGCGAGACCAGGAGTGCACCCTCTAGCCGCCAATTGGAGGAACGAGTTGACCATGTAGTCGCAATGCTCGGCGACATCAGTACCTTCGCTGCACCAGCCACCATCAACAATCAGCTGGACACCTTGAAGACCGAGGTTCAGCAATTGCACCAACTGCCTAACAAGGATGGCAACGCCGTGCAGCACTACAAGATGCCGACATTCCAAATCGAGAAGTTCGACGATTATACGCATCAAGACCCGGTCCTCTGGTGGGAGGGCTTTACAACGCAACTTCGGATTCTGTTCGTTGCCAAGCACGCAAACATCAGCCCGCTGTTTCTCAACTCAAAGGGCGGATGCCAGATCTAGTTCAGCCACCTGGGAACCGTCCACGACGTCGATGTCGCAGATTTGAAAGATAAGATCTCTTGGGAAGAGCTAACACAACTATAGAAGAAGCGGTTCATCGTGGACGACGCCCTGACGCTCGCCATCAACCGCCTCTTCGCTATGACGCAAGGCAACACAGCAATACGCGACTGGCTCACGAAATGGCAAAAGATCGCGGCAACGCCCGATCTAGAATTGCCATTTTCGCATCTGCGCCGAGAGTTCTACAACCGGTCATGTGCCGCCTAAAGCCTTGCACTTGGTGATCGTGAGCAATACGCAACCTTCGCTGAAATCATCGACAAGGCAAGGGAGATCATCAAGACCAACAAGGCAGCTGCACATGAGAAATCAACATGGAAGCCAACCTATGTGGAGAAGGTGAGAACTGATCCGCGATCGTAGCATGTCGCTGCAGTCCAATCGGACAACATTGTGGAAGACCCGGCAGCCACCCAAGCRTCACGTGAGGGAGATCAGGTGGCTGTTGTCCAACCACGAAGCAACAACGAGCCCCGAGGAGACGGGAAGGCGAAAACCGAGTCGCCGGCCGAAAACGGACAGCCAACACCATGGGTCAAGTTTCACTTGACCAAGGCGGAATACAAGTGGCGCGACCACTACGGCTGCTGCTATTGGTGCAACAGCACCACGCACAAGACCTCCCAATGCCCTGATCAAGACAAGGAGGATGTTCAGCCTCGTATCAACTCGGGAAACTGAGTTGCGCAGGAGGTGAGGCGACTCCACCTCTCACTCCGCCAGATTCGGCCGCCTTGCTAGCGGCCTCCTACACATCTAGGGAGGATGCGCATGTCGCAAGTCGGTTCACTTACGAGGATTATGCTGTCCACTTGGTCCCACCGTTGGATCAACCACTCCACGTGCAATAATCTACCGCATGCACGGTTTCATCACCATCGACAACCGATTCGGCAGCTTCGCCGCCATCTATCGCCGGGGATTCAAAGTCATGGTCAAGACTTGAAGAGCTCGACCCGTTGACGTTTGCGGACTTCCAATGGATGCCCCTTCCCCGGTCTGGTCGATTGCCGAAACCGCATTGCAACGTGCTCATGGCACAATTGCGGGATTACTTGCACACTGCAGTACCAACTCCGTTGATGGACGCCGAAGTAGAGGTTGTCGACCTTCACGCCTACATTGCAAAGCTCGACCGCGAGTTCAAGACACAACGATACGACGACATCGACGCACCATTGTTATATTGTCGCATTCAGATAGGAAAGGCGACCTACAACGCTTTGATCGATTGCGGAACATCTCGCAACTACATGAGCCATGACTTTATGGTACGCGCCGGCCTTGGCCCACGTGTCCGGAGGAAGTCCCAGCCTACACAAGTCACGTTGGCAGACGGTCACACGCACAAGTCAATCAACCGGTGCATAGATGACGTCCCCGTCTACTTTGCCCCGCATGCAAGCGAGGCGGTGTCCTTCGATATTTGGACACAAATTCGACATGATCTTGGGCATGTCATGGCTGCGAAGCGAGGATCACCCGGTGAACTTCTACCGCCGCACAGCTCACGTCCGTGATCGGAACGGAGTACTAGTCCCATGCACAGTAGCTCCTCCTCACCCTTCGATCAGCTGCCACGTGGTGTCCAAACGACATCGAGGAAATGGGGGTGTTTTCTCTGCGCCCTCCCGCCCCATGACGCTTCATCGACGGACTCATCACCGAGCTACGGCGACGTGTTCGAAAGCCCGCACGGGGTAGTACCGGATGGGCCCATCCACCACGAGATCATCCTCGAGGACGGGGCCATACCTCCACGCGGTTGCATCTACCGAATGAGCGAGGAAGAGTCAAGTGTGCTACGGGCACAACTCGATGACCTTTTGGAGAAAGGCTGGATTCAGCCTAGCTCATCGCCATACGGTGCTCCCGTTCTCTTTGTCCGGAAGAACAACAAGGATTTGCGGTTGTGCATCGATTATCGCAAGCTCAACGCGCAAACGATCAGAAACGTCGGCCCTCTTCCACGCATCGACGACCTTCTCGAACGGTTGGGCGGTGCCAAGTTCTTCTCCAAGCTTGACCTCAAGTCGGGATATCACCAACTTGAGATTCGGAAGGAGGACCGCTACAAGACCGCGTTTAAGACGCGATATGGGCATTTCGAATGGCTGGTTATGCGATTTGGCCTTATGAATGCCCCAACCACTTTCCAAGCGGCTATGACAACGGAGTTTCGACACATGCTGGATCGATTTGTACTTATCTACCTCGACGACATCCTGGTGTATAGTCGGAGTTTGGACGAGCATGTGGAACACCTGCACACCGTTTTGGAGCGGCTACGACAAGCCAAGTACAAAGCCAACCGCGACAAATGCGAATTCGCGCGGCAGGAGCGGGAGTACTAGGACATTACGTGACGCCGCAAGGCATCCGTCCGCTTGCGGACAAGATCGAGGCCCTCCGCGTATGGCCCGAGCCCACCAACACCACAGACGTCCGTTCATTCATGGGGTTGGCGGGCTACTATCTGCGATTCATCACCGGGTACTCAAGGATTGTTGCACCTATGACGAGATTACAATCGCCAAAGGTGCCATTCGTGTTAAATGATGACACACGCCGGTCATTCCAAGCACTCAAGACGGCCATGCTCATGGCACCCGTCCTTAGCATCTACGACCCCACCCTGCCAACGAGAGTGACAACCGACTCTTCCGGCTATGGCATTGGGGCAATCTTGGAACAACACGACGGCGACGATTGGCACCCTATGAAGTATTTCAGCCACAAAGTGCCTCCCATCAATTCACTTGATGATGCAAGGAAGAAGGAGCTGCTCGCGTTCGTGATGACTCTCAAGCGATGGCGGCACTTCCTCCTTGGGGCAGTCGGGGAAGCGATGCAAAGATTGGGTTGACCGCCTCCCCGACAGCCCCAAGCGGAGCGGGCACATCAAACCGCTCAAATGATGCTTCGTACGCTCATCCGTCCGGACCAGAAAGATTGGGTTGACCACCTCCCCGACATCGAGTTCGCCTACAACACTTCGGTGCACCCGACGATCGGCATGACTCCGGTGCACCCGACGATCGGCATGACTCCATTCGAGTTGCACCACGGTGGACGGAAAGGCCGTATCTTCGCCGACCTTTTCCTCCCACGACCAGCCGACATCGACGCCGCTTGCTCTCCCGCTTCCGTCCGGAAGTACAGGGAATTGCTGGCTCAAGCCCGCGCAAACATGCAAAAGGCTCAAGTCCGCATGCAGCAGCAAGCCAACAGGCGTCGCGTGCCATGTCCCATCCGTGCCGGTGATCTGGTTTGGGTCTCTGCGGAAGAGTTTGCACTGGAACAGGATGTTTCACGCCAACAGCTTCCCAAGTGGTTTGGACCATGGCCCGTAACATCAGCCGCGGGCGATGAGCCCGATGGCCCTTCATTTGTGATCAACATCCCCCCGCATTTGATAGTCCATCCAGTCTTTCACGCCTCAAAGCTGGCAACATATACACCAGCTAAGAGCGACGACTTCCCGGGCCGACGATCGCAGGACCCTCCATCTATGCATGGTTCAGGAAGTTGACCGCGTCATCACGGATCGCAAGTACGGCAACAAGCCGCGACAATACAAAGTTACATTCAGAGCATGTGATCCCGACGACACTCGGTGGATTTCAGGAACAAATTTGAAGGCGTCCGCACCGCTGATCTACGCTCACTACGAGCGACAAAGGTTAGCTCGGGCAACTTCACGACCTGCCCCTCCCACCCGGACTCTGGTCCCTCCCTCAAACAGACAGCTTCGCCCTCGCAGGTAAGCTCGGTCTTTCAAGGAGGGTGGGGTGTGGCATACTGCGTAGCCACACGGGCCTGCAGGGCCCGTCCCGCATTCTCAGCCTAAAAGCCTAGAAATAAGGGCTTACAGGCCCCTGTCGTTTCAGCCTGAAAACTGAAAACGAGGGCCTGCAGGCCCTATTTCGTTTTCAGCCTAAAACAGGGCTTTTCAGACCTCAGGCTTTTCAGCCTGAAACGGAGGGCCACTTTCGGGCGCTCATAAGATCGACCTACCCTAACACTCAGGCACAAAACCAGGGTTTCGGGAACAGGCTATTTCTGGCCTGTTCCCACGACAGCCTCAAGCAGGAGCTGCAGCCTCAAGCAGAAGCCTCCTGGACTGCCTCGCCCTGCAGTCAGGAGGCAGGCCGAGAAGTACATAGGGAGTTCCCATGCACTTCACGGGTAGGTAGTTGGACAGAAGGCAGGAGTAGTCTTCAGGATTCGGCCGCAGTACTCAGGAGGAGCGCTGCAGGAGTAGCTTAGCGCTAGCAGTAGTCTTCAGCGCTGGGCGCTTGTAGCCATAGCAGTAGTCTTCAGCGCTGGGCGCTAGTAGGTGGTAGTAGTAGTATTGGGGAGAGATGGCTGGCGGAGGCCAGTGAGACTTACCTGTGGCACCATAGCTCCAGCTCCATCTTCGAGGTACCTGCATCAAGGCGCCAACTTCACA